AACGGAAAATCAGTTTTATGGGTACAATCGTTGATTGCAAAGTGTTCACAATCGACGGTACTATCCAATAATGTGAGACGCTTCAGACTCGACAGAATCACATCGTTGGACTCTGCGCACTCCGATGTTTACCAGTAAACTATTATGATTACGATAGCACTGATACTATAATTATAAATAAAACGAGCTGTTGATTGCAATTATTTGCTTCGGTTCGACGATGATATTGGAAACTAATAAACGAACCGCTTCAGGATGTATGCGCGTGTATAAACATGCGTTACACGGAAGGCGCGTGTAGAGAACGCGACGACTGCCGTACGGTTAAGACACACCGCTGTGTTGACGCGATTCGCGGGTCGTTTTGCAAACAACAATAATAATAATAATAATTTAATAACGAAACGACGCAATAGTTATAACGGTGCGCGTGGCTTGTCCTGACGCAAGTACATCATCATATTCGTTTGATTTTAACTGACAGCGTTTAGAATATAATTATTTTTTTAAATAACAGTGCTCACGATATTTATAAATACTATATTTTATCTAAGGTAGACCTTACGCATATGCCTTATATAAACCAATGAATATAGACGTGCCGTAAGAAAACGATTTAAAAATAACATTTATTTAAAAAAAAAAAAAATATTTTAAAATACAATTTTCTATTTGATTAAATATATTTAAACGATAAATTATCAAATCATGTAAAAATAACCATAGCTCATGAAGAAAATCGATAAAAACAAACCATTTAAAAAAAAAAAAAAAATTAAACTGAAAGATGGGATGCACTAATAAGTTAATATCCACCCAATAATTACGTAAAAGTTCATAAAATCTAATATTTACTATTTTAAATACACGTTAAAGTTAGAATTAACACTCATATCAGATGGCTGGTAGTCCTTTTCCGTCTTTCATGGTCTAGGTCATAAGTTAGTTTAGATAGGTTTTACTACCCTTGAGGCAAAAGACAAATTTATGTCCTATGTCTGTTTTAGCAGGTAGGGTTTGGTTTGAACATGTATTTTAACGTAGGCATATCCCGTAACAGATTATGCAAAAACCTATTTTTGTTTCGTTCTGGACTATAAAATCGATATACTGTCACTATAAATAATACAAAAATTAATATGATCATCATTGATAAAAATCAATCAGTATATAATATATGAAAACGGGCATTCAAAATTATTTTGGTGATATATTAATATTAAGTAGCAAATTTAGTTATACTAAACAATCGACATGGGTTTTATACAAAAAAGTAAAATAATTTAGTTCATTTTTAGCAAAAATGTACTTTTTACAATAACTTTTCTGTATTTTGTTTCATGTCAGAATTATTGTAAAAATTTAAAACTTATACATTCTACAACTATTTGCTCGATTTAATTTTCGATTCAACGAAATGCTATAAAAGATTTTCCATTTAGTAAATAAACTACCTAAGAAAATTGCTTACATAAGGAAAGAAATCACAAAGCTATATCAATAAAATCCTCATATCAATCAGAATCTAAAAATTATAGTTCAAATTCCAATGATAATAATCCTTATTACACATTTTAAACAAAGCTTAAGTTTTGAATATTTAAATTAGTTATTTTTCAATAATTCAATAATTTAATAAAAATCGTGTACACTCTTCCGTGACGTTATCTTGTATACGTGTTTACATGCATATATGTATGGTATATATATAAATTATAGTCCATATTATTTAACTTTTATATATTTACAATAGTCGTGTAGATTGTAACACTGTTAAAAGTAAAGGAAGAAATCGCATTTGTTTTATATCCCGGAATCAAAATGTGTGAACTAATAGTGCAGGGTAGTGCGGAATGAAAAACTCACCAACCTTTCAACGAACATGTGTCGTGGCGGTTCAAGCGCGTTGAATCGGAGAGATTTTGAAATGGTTTCGTGGTTAATATACCACACAAGTACAGTGCAACTTTGATATAGTTAATGTGAAGGAAAATAGGAATAAATACGAGTGATCAAAGTTTCGAGTTTTTGAGATTCAAAATTATTATATATTCCATTAGTTAAAAAATATGCACACGGACTACATGTCTTATGCAAAAGCACAACTTATAAAGAAATCTAAATGTTATTACACATCGTGTTTGTATAATAGTATAATTTGAATAATTTCAATATTAAACGATCCATTTACAATCCCAGAAAATATTTACTACAAAAATTAATTATCAATTAAATTGTGACTCATTACCATTCATATATAAAAATTATTGTACTGCTATTAAATGCACATTGGATAACCGTTTGGAAAAACGTACAAAGCTTAATACCCAATAGTCGTTGTAGTTTACATATTTCGCTTTCACACTCGAACGCATGATCGAAGGACTTTATAGGATATCATAACATATTTTATTGATTTTTTTTTTTATATTAATTATTTAAACCTATTCAACATTCGTTACAAAATCAATTAGTTTTTAACATTTTCGAATGAAAAATATTATCGTGTTTAATTTACATACATATTTATACATAACATTTATGTACTGTAGATAACACGTTTGTTACTATTATAATACTAATCAAATGGATTTCAAGAAATTTTTTTTAAAATTTTTTCGTTGAAACGTCTTTTTTTTTTTTAACTCGTATATTCTGAAGCAAGATAACTGTTTAAAAATTAGATAACACTCTAAACAAGTAGATAGCTGTTTATGAGTACAGAGGGTTTCTCAAATTAGTGGAGTGGAATAGCAGGAGTACCCCATAAAACATTAGAGCTTCATACTCCACTAAAAGCACATAAATTCACCGAGAGAATGTGTGTGTGTGTATGTGTGTGTGTGTGTGTGTGTGTGTATCATGTTAAAAAACCTACTATGTTTATGTACGTGTATTTACGGTGTTAGAACGTGTAATAACATTGTGTTGTTATATTTAATAGCTGTTTTTGTGCTCTGCCCACTAGTTGGCTATTTTTTTTATAAATGGTTTTTTTATCATTTTTTTATACATTACAAGTAATGTTACAGTTACATTTCGTGAAAACGATTAATAAGTAAAATACAGTCATTATTTCATTTTATCTATAAAGAAAACTACAACCATATTTCAAATACACTAACCGAAAAAAAAATTATTTTACTTTGTACAATTACGATGCCATGGTTCGGCTGTAGGCTCCCTCGAGGACCATAAAGCTTATGATCCTTGTAAATTGATTTTATTCTGGTCGTAATTTCATCTCGGTTGGGTACTAAGTCCTGTGTGTAAACACAATTTCGCACTGATTTAAATAGGTACTCGATGGCTAGTATTTACAACATAATAATAGTACATAATTTTAGGAGCTAGATTTTATCAAATGATCTAGGCATAAATATTTTACGGTTTGCACGTAGTAATAAATAATAATTATCTTATCATAAAACAAATATAAAAAAAAATTACGTTCGAATAACAAGAATTATTATTTATCGATTTGAAAAAAAAAATCAAGAGATAAAAGTTTATTTATAAACCTAAATGCGTATATGTATATATTATAAATGCGTCTGTGCAGTATCCCTTTTAAAAAGCAGTAAACGTCTGGAGATTTCCCGTCTGGAAGAAACCTCGATTGGACTTGCGAAAAACTAGTGAAATTGAGTGCAAACATTTCCAACAAAAAAGTTTTCAGTGGGAATTTGCACAATGATGAAGATGTGAAACGTTTTATCATGGCAGGGTGTGGAAAGTTTATGACCGTGAAAAACTTAAACGCCGAGTCGGCGGTTTCTTTAAAGAACTAAGAAGCCAACGGCAAAATTATGGTACACCAAGAATAATGGTAATATAGTGATTAAATATCTAATTAAATATTAGATGAATATAATACGTAAAAGCACAATGTTATCGCGTTTTTACGAGATTTACGAATTATGTATAAAAAGTTTTCATGTAGGTATCAAAAAGACGGACGACTGCACGAGGCAAGAATCACAGTTTTCCGCGCCATTTCACCTCGTACATTTTTATAAGTTTTCATGAACGAATTCCACAAAACGCACGAGATAATATTATTTTATATTGTACCCGACGATACACGTTTTACAGGACGTTATGCACTGCACTGTTGCACTGCAACGCAACTAACGCAGAAGACTCGTATGGATGATAAGCCACCAACGCGATTGTTACGCAACGATAAAATAAAAAAAACAGTTGGATAATTAACATTTATGAGATTGACCATGGTTTTTTTGCGTTTCAATATCTGCGCGGATATCCGAGCGCTTGTCCGAAATATAAGTGGTATTTATTCTATACTAGATATTAACGGGATCGTTTTACACGAATCCGTCGGACGCACTCGTCTCGTCGCGATCAAAATACTTGCAAAGAAACATTCACGTCGAGTAGTAAAAAGCCGTCGAAATGCCCACACCCGCCCACGCGCGGTTACGCGTCCAATGGTGTCGGTGACAATGGACATACGACCAGTATTGGGATTAGACATGTACTTTTTTATCTAGATAAAAAATAAGATGATCTATTTTAATACCAACTTTAAAGCAGGGGCGTAATTTAAATATTTGCTAAGGTAAGGCATAATGATAATCGACGAGTCACCAACATAAGGAATATAGGTTTATTTTATATTTGAACATCAAGTTCCAGGTCTCCAACGAAAAGATTAATAATAAATAATACCTAATATATAATATTATTATGAACATACAATTGTTTTTATTAATATGACTTAACAATTCAAATTCAAATAATTAATTATCGAAAAATTAATTTTTAATAAAAATATTTAATTCCTTTTTTTTTTTATAGAAACGAATTTATCTAGATAAATTAGTTTAAATGAACGATTTTTTTTTTTTTTAGATAAAATGAAATTATTTATCTAGATAAAATAAAAATAATAAAATAATTATCTAGATAAGTTTCAATGCACGCGACGCTCTGCCTTGCAAAAACAACTGACAACAATAACGGTATGATGTACTTACAGTCCACGCTGACTTTGATGCGTTTACTGACCGACGGCGGCACGGAGTTGGTGGCTATGCACAGGTAGGCGCCCATGTCCAACCGGCTGATCCGATGCAGTTCCAACGTGGGTCCCGCCCATTCGCTCACTGCAGCCGAAAACGAACACATGAAAACAGAACCACGGTCTCGGTGTACACGTTAATGGATCGCGGTAAAAACAACTTGATGCATTTTCTTTGGCGTCATCGAACCCCTCCCCCGGGCAGGCGGAAGCGGACGGGGAGCAGGAAGAGTTATTGTGGCGAATCCTGCACGCGCGAATACGATAGTAAAATGTATACGACTCGCACGGTGAATCAGGGGGGGAGGGAATCGACATGGCAGCGGACGGATGGGTAGCAGTGGACCGAGGCGAACTTTTGCCGGTTCGAAAAGTTTTCGGATTCCTTTGTGCAGTACGGCCATGGGCCCGCTGTGCCGTCGATGATTCATTGCCACCAATAAGGACTGTCGCTATTAAAATCCCCCCCCCCCGCCACGGTATTATTGTTCCAATTAAACGGGGGCCCGGCGAGCAAATAAGACAAATTCCTCGTGCCCGCCCGCGCAAACACGACCGTACACCGACCGGCGACGATAATTATTATCGTTATTATTATTATTATTATTGTTATTATTGCTGTTTACGTTTGATATTTCCATTTGTTTCCGTAGGCCACGGGTTGATAGGGACCGGGAGTAGGGGGATAAATGATCAGGATGATAGGAGAGAGGGCAAAGATATACACCTAAAACTTTTGACCGTCCCCGATCCGCCACTACGTTCCAAAAAACAATATGCAATATCACTGCAGAATAACTACGTGCGAAATGTTTAGGCACACTGTTTTCGAATAAAATATTGTGCGCGAGTTCGGCCTACAATGATACGGTCGTGTACGTACATTTTTCAATTCAAAGGTCGGACCCTGTGAGTAACCTAGTCAAATTCAAATCTCAGATTCACAGAAAATAATTAGGCCATATGGTGAAAAATATCGGAAAACCTGTTCCCCCATTGTCCCGTTGGTTCAAACAGGGAGTAAGGAGGGTGAAATTATCGTTCACTGAATTTTGTGAGCAGACACGTGTTGAATACTTTTGGAAAAAGTCCCAGTAAAATGTTGACAAGTTACCAAGTTGACTGTTTAATAGTGCTAATACCATAGACTTACATTTTAAATACAGATTTCGAAAGATCCGTTGAAAACCCCGTTCATCAAATGAGTTATAACTCACATGAATAAAAATCATTTTTCTATGCAATTATACGTATAGCATTAGAGGTACATATATGTGCTTATGTATGTACACTCGTTTCGAACCGTACAACCGTTCCCCCCTTTTCCCGTCTTAAAACATATTTTATAAACTATCTTTGATCTACCACTTCATTTCATCGGATACACTGAATAAGTTGACAGTTCTTACTATTGAGCATGTTGAAAGTAGTACAGGCCAGACGATTATGAGTTCAATATTACACTTCCCCTCCCCTACTACCATCAACCCGGTGGTATTTTAAAGATTTTTCAATGCTCTACATTTTTAAATTCAATTTTTAATAACATTTTGTAATATCCGTACCAGTTAACGTTTTGTTGATGTTGATTTGCAAACCGTCGTCACGTTTCCATTTTATTTCTGGTTTAGGGTACCCGTCCACATGGCACGTAAGTGATACGTTTGATCCTTCTCGAACTATTGCATCAGAACTGCTCAACGAGTCGGAAATCGACGGCGGAACTGTAGGAAGAAATACATACTATTATTATTATTATTATTTCTATTCTTCTGATGTTATCAATCCTATTTTATTTTAAATATAAGTTATTATTTTAAGGTTAATCATATGAATATTAGTAACCATACGAAATACGTAGTTTTTACGGTTCAAATTGTCAAGGCTTTAATTCCAAAGATTAATCACAGATATACCCGGAAAACCACTAAATTTAAAATGCAAAATTAACTGAATTACAATTATAGTTCAGGATCAATATAAAATGCAATATCAGATACCGTCAATCAAAATTTAAGTTTTTTTTTTAATACACTACTCCTTCATTCATTTTATTCATCATCGTTCGATAATTTATCATTTTTAATTTTAAATGGTTTATTTTATCTTCAAGAAATTATTAGTTTCAGTGAATTTCGTTTAATATTTTAATAATTTTGAATTCCGTGATGATGAAAGAAGTGTATTGAGTATTTTATTATAAATCATGGTCCAAAGGATCATTCAATAATTTTGTTCGTTCATGCTTAAAAAAAAAGTTTTATCGATCAAAAAAGCAGTTTGTCAAATTGTTATGTATTACCGCATCTTGTTAAAACTGAACTATTTCATATTATATAAACATAAAATATATGTATGTTAAAAGGTTTGAAAATTGGAAAAATAATTCAATAAGTTTCATCTGCGGGCAGGCACGTACACAAAAAAATATTTTGGGAGGGGTTTTAGGTTGTATATTTTCATAATAATATAATCTATATACCAATTTTACTATATAAAAACATATTTAATATCATTTTCCTGAATTTCGGGAGGGGTTTGAAACCCTAAAGCCTCCCCTTGTGTACGCGCTTGTCTGCAGGCGTTAAATTTAAATATATTACACGATTTGAACAACTGTTATGGAAATAATTTTTAATATTCACTACTTTAAACTCTTAATTAAAATTATTGTAAAACCTATTAATTTACTATAGAAATTAAACATATTAACATCACTATAAATTGTACCTAACACTGTTATACCTACAGACACTGCATATGTTGAAGTTTGTGCATTGAAGTTAGTGCTTTCGAAAATTTAATAAATACACATAATGATTTATATTTACTATTGTGTGAACAACTGTAAACACATGGTTATAACAAAGTTACATACGATACATAATAAGTCTTTTAGCTGCTCAAATAAAAAAAGGTCATATTTTTCCTCAGGTTAACACGCTCTAAACAATTTAATAAACACACACACATAACCTCTACGACCTTTTTGAAAACATAATTGTAAACTGCAGATATCATACAAATTGTTTAATTTGAGAAATGTGTGAAGTTTTAATTACATTTACTTTTAATTCTAAAATAAGGTCTCACGTGCTGTACAACTACAACCGATTTTCCACCCATTGCGTCAAAAAAAAATACACGTCTTCTTTGTATACATCACATCGTTTGTTCATAATATTATACCATGCGTTCTAGTGTATCCCGTGTAATGAATTAAAAATAATATATTTCCATGTCAAAACAATAATAACGTGTTAATTTCATTATAAATCCAAACGAAAACATGTGGTTGGTAAATCGAACCTTTGTCGATTTATTCGAATCATAAAAAAAAAAAAAAAAAGAAAAAGGAAAAAAAAAGAAACAGAGTTTGATTATCTTCAAAATGGTTGAATATATTTCGATAAGCATATCTACGTGGAACACTCTGTTTAACATAACGGGCCAATGAAGCCGATTTTTAAATTGTGTGATTAGGAACATAACGAGTATTTACAGCGTGGAGAGAATGAATATTAAATACGTTACAGTGTATGAAACTATTCGTGTGTGTAGGTAAATTCTCCGTTGAACCGCGAAAAGCCAAATGACAAAAACGTGAAGTTCGCATGCTGGTTGTCGTTCATAAACAATGCATGGCGTATCATTTATCCGCTCGTACATGCGGAGTGATTGAAAATTATTTTCCAACAATAAAGATCGGTTGGTCGGGCGGAAAAGTTCGATTCACGGGTATAGGATTATCGAGCATGTACATAACGTATGGAAACGGACTACGATTCGGAAGTCAATAAACACCTTTTTAAGTGGTGGGGAAATCGAGAAGACATTATTTTTCGAGCTTTAGCGGGGGTGTGGGGGGGGAGAAAGTCGTAATTTTTGCTAACTGTGGATGTGGCCCGCCAAAAAAGTTGAGCACACCTGCTGTACCCGATGATTGTTTAACGTTTGCGTGGTGACTGCACCGATACACGTGTACGGGAATATAATAGAAATGTGTCATAGGGAAAATAATTAATATTACACATATCGACGGTGAATGCAGCGTTGGCAATAAAGATTAGTGATGTGTCGTACATATATATTTTCATTCTTTTATTTTCCTTTTTTCCAAAGGTCAGAGACGTGTGCATGGCATCCCGATAAGATGCTCGCACGCACATGCATTTGCACGCATTCGCACACATACAAATACCTACACACATACGCCACAGATGGCGAGAAGTAGCTTAGGGGCAACGGTGGCGGTTATACCTCTGCACACCCCCGGGCGTGCGTATCTCCCTTCGCCCCGGGCAGCCAGCCTTAATGCAAAACGTGCCTCACTTACTAATCTATTTTTTATTCCCCCTTTATCGTCCTTTATTGCTGGCCTCTGGACCTTTACACGTCGACCGTCACCGCAACTTCTTTCCCTTTCGCCTAAACGCGTATGAAATGAAAAAAAAATCGTTTCGCAATATTGCCGTGTTTTGATATCGTATGTCTTTTCCCACGCCCGAAATCAGTGAGAGAGTGTACGAAAGAGAGAGAAAATGAAAAAAAGCTTATTTTTGAGCGTACAGATGAATCGCGCGAGGATATAGTAAACAATTCTATTATACTGTTACCGCGGCGTTTTCTTTTCACAATAACTATTAAATTTGTTTAAGAACCCTGAAACATAACATAAATTATAAATATGTTAATTCAACTGTAGTTTTATATCTTGTCCATAAAATAAAAATTAAGTGAAGGTAAATTAATATTATTTTTAAGTATTTTTAAACTTGTACATATCGAAAAATTATCATTGATATCTTAAGAACTATATTCAATTTGATTGTGAACTTTTTTTTATGAAAATATATCAATCGTACGGTATTTTATATTTATAAGTGTGCAAATATAAGAATATATATTAAAAATTAAACCATAAATTAAACATTAGCAAGTTATTAATATATTGAATGAAAGTATATAAAGTTTAAATATTAAATCAACTATCTTAATAAAAAACAATTGTTAAAAATAAATTCATCGAATATCCACAGTAAATATGCGACTTTAAAACTATAAAATTGAAATAAACAAACAACTCAAAATTAAATTGATAACAAATTTAAAATGTGATAACCATTAATATAACTTTGAATTATTCATATGCATTAAGGATATCTTGTTTAATTACAAGAATATTAATGAGTTATCTTCTGAAATTAAAATTATAGTGTATTAGTTTATAAAAACTTATTGGTTTACATTTTTTTTTTATATACTCCAAGTAATAATAATCATGGTTCTTCATTTAATTTTCAATTAATGATTTTTTTCAAAAAAATCATAGACATGTTATTACCATATTTTAACTCTTAAGAATATATAGACAGTATAGTGTTAAAATTATTAATAAATCTATAGAATACAGATGTAACTAATTTAATCCGTTACTAAACTTTTATAAAATAATTAAAAAAAAAAAAAAAACACACATTTTTAATTGAGATTCCAATTTTTAATTTTAAATTTTAAACGTATATATATATTATTAACTAAATATAAAAAATTATATTTATTTAGTTTTACTTTATACCATTTTTCTCATTTGATAAGCCATATCTTACCATAATAATAAAATATTATTTATTACAACCATATTTATCGATTAAATAATATTCGAATCATAATCTAAATTTTAAAATAAACAATCAAAAAGGTAATTGATTATTATAAAATATTGAACTCTTATTTTACGTTTCATTAAAAATATATTTTATTCTCGTTAACCTTTGATTTTTTTATATAAACAAACCACAGAATTTTTCGTGAATGAAAATATTTTATCAATATAAGTTGAAAACTTTTATTTTCATTTCGGAAAACAAAGGTTGCATACTCAATTATTCTTCAGAGCATAAAACATAATACCTAACAATTGGGTGAACATGTATGGTTATAGATGTATCATCGAAGCGTATCAAGTGCCTTACCGAACTTGACTTACGAATGATAATGACGGATTTTCCTCTTGGAGTGTCCTTTATTTTTATTCGTTATGTATATACATACGCACAAACATATATATTTATATATATAAACATATTATGAACGTGTAGACGATAACGAACAGTCGGTATCTGTAGTCTGAAGGGCATTCGGAGTGACGACTTATTGAAATGTTTTTCGCGCCTCATGTACTTCCCCGTTTGTATAGAATGTTGCTCAATATTCATTCGGCCAACCGATGCATAAGAAATCATGAAAATATCTCTAAGTCCTATACATTAAAGCGGAAGTGGAATTGATGTCAGCAGATCACAGGGTGTACATTTGAAGATTATTCAAAATAATACAAACAAGGGTGGCGGGATATTAATCATAATATCAATTTTTTTTTTACGATCGACGCTTATTTTCATGAAAAAAAAAAAGCGGGAATTTTATTATTATTTAAAGCCATGGAAATATCAAAAAATACAAATCATTACAACAATCGAAAAATCATACCACAAATTATTTGAACATCATCGGGTTATCATAAAACGTATGAAAAAAAAACTCATACAAGAATATATAATTTATAAAAATAATTAAAAAAAAAAAAAATAGAGCTCTCCAGAATATCAAATACACAAAAAATAAAACAGTACAAACTGAAGTTGTGATATAATAAACCTGAATATTATTTATATTATTATATAAGTATCAGTGAAAGGATTGAAATACTTTTCTTACTGAT